GGTTTTAAAACTTTAGGAGATCTGACAACTGTCTCCAAGTTAAGCAATATGGGAAAGTAAGGGGGTACCTATAATGATCAGTAATGTGAGTTTCTCAGGGAATCAAACAGTTGCAATCGGCTCAAAAAACAAATAGGATGATACAGTCCTGAAATACACCCAAAAAAAGGGGGGAACTAATTTAGAAGTGGTGAAAAATGGACTGTGTTTTCCCATTGTATACAGTAGATGGCAGCAGGGAGACATGACAAAGGCATGCTCAGAAACGATGTCAAATGCATTAACTGCTGAAAGAGTTATGTGATAAGCTCTGTCCATATGTGTCATTTATTTTCTTTTGCCAACATACATTATTCAATCATTGCAACTGCAGAACCAGAGAAAAATTGGGGGAAATCCTAAATAGGGCTTTTATTTATTAAATGCATTTCACATTGTAATTTAAAATCATTGCATGACTTTGATAATCACATGATAAAGGGGATTTTATTTGTATTATAGTTCAGGGTCGAATAGGTTTATCATTGATGAATAAGTAACTTTGAGGGATAAAATAACATTTTATTTTTATTTATTTCAACATTTAATCCTTAAAATTTTGTTTTTGCTCTGCTCTTACATTAATTATTAAATCCTATTTTCAATACTCATTAAAATAATCTTTCCCTAATCTCTCAAATCAAAGAAAATCTGAAACCTGACATTGTGAGATGTCTCCATTGGACTCCTTTGTTTACTTCAGTAACATTATGACATTAGTAGTAACACTTACGTTTCTATTAGCTAGAAGTCCAACACATTGTACGTGATAGGCCAAGGGCCGGGACATCTCTAAGCGGTTTAACAATCACAACAGAGCCGGCCAGCTAACCAATCAGAGCAGACTGACTCTGGTTTCAGACAGAGGGTGAGAAGAGGTGCTGCAGCACAGGCAGTATGAGAGAAATAAAGACCTTTTTGAACATTAAAGCATGGAGACATGTCACAGTAGAGACACAACATACATTTATGAACCTGTAAATGTACATCATGGGCCCTTTAAAGGAGGCATCAGATGTTGTGTAACACGCCTCCAATAACAGCCTCAAACACTTCACACACACACTTTTGGGCCAGATTAATGGCTTTACTCTTATGTGTGAATTATCAACAAATAACAAAAACAAGGGCAATGTACAGTATGCATGTTAAAGAATTTACAAGAGCTGTTTTCTAGTCATTGTGCATCAAACCTCTGAGAACTAAAGGTTAATGAACATTTAAAGGATTTATGAGGCTGCATGTGGGAATACTTTGCAGCCCTCCACCCTCCACTGACACAGAACAAACCTCACACACACTCACACAGCAGAGACGTTTCACCCAGTTTCATCATATATTCGGCTCCTTTAACAAAAAGTGGAGTTATTCATCCTGAAAAGTGAGCTGCTGGAAAACAACCTAAGTGAGGTGTCACTTACAATTAATGAAATAATTCAGTGCAGATCAGGATGTGGATAATGCCAGGAGATTCTGTCAGCTTGTGTTATTCTTTCATTAGTTTTCCATTCACACATATTCCCAGCATGCACCAGGGGCAAGGAAGGTTCATCACAGAGCAAACACATTACTCACAAACATCTTTCAACCTGCACTGTGTGTCTCTGAAGTGCAGAGGTGTTCTAGGATATTCTTTTCCTGTTAGTATCACTGGCTGTATAAAATACACAATTGATGGTGATAATGATTGCAAACACATGTACATTTAAGACTGTGTGATGTAAATGCATAGGAAATGATGTGGTCGTATCATGTGATTCTGTTGCAATAAAAGTATCAAACTAGAAATACTCTGTTCTAAATAAAAGTCATGCATTCAAAACTTAATTAAAGTACACAAGTATGCAGAATGGACCATTTCAGAATAACACATTACATAGGTCCTTCTAGGATTATTATATTATAATACAGCTTTATTTGTGGAGCACTTTTCATACACTAGGTGCAGCTCAAAGTGCTTTAACAGCAGGCCACACAACACAACACAAATCAGAGAAGAAGACATTTATTTCCGTTAAAACCTTTTGCACACATGCAGCATAAAATATAACAATCCCAAAAAACGGTATCAATATAAAAATTACAATACAATAAATAATGATCCAAAAGTGATACATTATAACAAGTGATGGATTAATGTGTTACCTTGAGGGTAGTTGCCTTAATTCACACTAAAGATAGCTTAATATTTAAAGTGCAAATAGGATATTATTATTATTATACCTCAAATACAGGTATTATATGATCAGTTAGACATTCCCTGATACAACAAACAAAAGTGTTGCCTCTGCAGCGGCAGCAGCACATGTAGCACAGTGTAACACTCTGTAGGTCAGGTATTGTTGTTCCTCAATTAGTCATCATTCTTTGAAATTTTTCAACATATAATTATGTGAGCAGCCCAGGCACTCTTTGAGATTCATTGTTTGGTTTTCCCCCTTCCAGTCTACCTTCTCAACACAGCAGACAGAGGGCACTGGGCTCTTATTTCTTATTTATGAAGTCAATCAACCAAAGTCAAAATGAACTAGAGGTTGAACAAATAAGTATTTTCTCTACTGTAACATGGATTACTACTTTGCCTGGACATTTAAATCCCTTATATCAATAAATAATGTAAGATGACATGTTCTTTAAACAAGTCATTGGGGTATTCCTCAATTAAACTACATGTGTTAAGCGGTCGGATTAAATGAATAAAAAGGAACTATGGAAGATATCATCATACAATACTGATTATTTTGAAAACTCTATGCTACGCTATATTCTTCCCAGCTTCTATTTTGACATAACAGGGTTTATTTCAAGACATCTTTATTTAATTCAAACGTTTTTTATTTTGGAAATAGTCATTTTATTTCATAATGACTCACAAAATCATGGGCTGTCAATAAGACAAATAGAGTCATTTATGTGTTTGCCACAACCCGGTGGCTTTGACATTTTTATTTGATTATACAACAATTGCATGATTATGTTACAGATTTTGTATATGTCATTTGTTCCATAATGCCTGATTTGTTTATGTATTCATTAAATAATTATCATAAGAGTTATCTTAATCACTAATGCGTGCGTTCCTTGTTATTTATGCATTTATTTCTCCTTTTTTTCCAGCTGGGTCTGATATTTCTGTATTATTTTGTCATTTTGATGTTTTAAGTGAGAGGATTTGATTAAGCCCCACAGGCTTCTCAACCGGGGATGGGATTTCCTATCCTCGCCTGTCTTGTTTCCAATATGATTATTTGTCCTTTTTAAAATATTTGTATTTTTCTTATCTTGGATTGATGGATTTCGTTGTTTTTATGTGATGATGTGGAATGGAGTGTGTTTAATTAAATGTGTAAAAAAAAGTTTCCCATTGCAAACCCTTAAAGGCAACCAAAGATTAAAAGATTGGTATTGTATTTTTTCTTATTGTTGAAATACTGACACATCCCAAACTTCAAAGTCTGTATGCCCGATATCTCAAACACTAACATGTTCTTATGCTTCAATGCTTCAAACAAGACCGTGTGGCCCAATAATATATTATTACACAGGTCTCATTTTGGCACAATGGCTGTTTGGGGTAAATAAATGTAGTCTGCAAAAACACTGGATTGGTAGTTTGTGTGCAACCTGAACACATCTTATAAAGGAATTGGGCTGGCAAGACACGGGTTGTGTGCTCCATTTAGACATGAAGCTGGCATAGCAGCAAGTGAACCCACTTAAATGGAGCGCAGGTGCATACTGTATAAGGCAGCTGCAGGTATAACGTTGAATCTACATCTGTTAATCAAATGGCCACAGGTAGGGATGCTGGTAAATCTTCATTTAATGCAGCCTTTCAGTGTTGGCAGAGGCAACACGGCATATTTTCCATTTGGATTCAGCCACCGAGCTTGTGAATTATGTGATTGTTTGTCTGCAGTGTTCTGTGAAGCTGTTGGTACATGAGACATTTTGTTTACTTGTTGCTCACAAGCTGCATGTGCTGTTTGTTTTGCTGAAATGAAATGCAGTACAACACAGATGTCAAACAGCCGATGGCGCTGTGCTGCGCAGGTTAGAAGAAGAAGAAGACATACTTTATTAATCCCTTACAGGAAAATGTATTTCAAGTACATTTTGAAATAGTGTCATTGGCATGGATGTTATTGCACAACTGACATTACATAGTGCAACCCTGTGTTGTAAGATGACACATTTTTTAATGTGCCAACTTGATACCATCAAATACAAACTTGTGTTTTCATTTTTTGGGAAAATATTTAGAGAAATGTTGGACAGTTTATTGTTGGAAAGTTTCATTTCTATCACAATGTAACATATGTATTAGATACAATTGAGGTATTATAATTGCAGCCATTGTCAGCATCAGGTAGATTATATAATGATTATCCTGCTGGGAGAGGCTTGCTGTGATCTAGAACTGCCCACAGAGAGTGAGAGAGAGAGAGAGGGAGAGTGTGTGTGTGCGTGTGTGCGTGTGCGTGTGTGCGTGTGTGTCAAAAAGACAGAGAGAAGGTGCACACTTGTAGCCTACATATCTTTGTGAGAACATTTTTGTTTTAGACCATCTGACACGAAGAAATGAATTATATCATACTTTAATTTGATTATAATCAAATCACATTAATATACAATTAGAATGGTTCAAATTAGAGTGAGGGGGCTTGAGAAGAATTAGAGTGTATGTGTGTTTGAGAACGAGAGAAGACAGGGATATATTGATCGATAGACAGAGAGAGAGAGAGAGAATGTGTGTGTGTGTGTGTGTGTGTGTGTGTGTGTGTGTGTGTGTGTGTGTGTGTGTGTGTGTGTGTGTGTGTGTGTGTGTGTGGTGTGTGTGTGTGTGTGTGTGTGTGTGTGTGTGTGTGTGTGTGTGTGTGTGTGTGTGTGTGTGTGTGTGTGTGTAGGTGTGTGTGTGTGTGTGTGAGGTGGATTGCCATCACAAACCAAGATGGCGGCGGAGCGGACAGCCGGCTCGCGCACTGACTGACAGACAGACCAGAAGCCTCGCGCGGTCGGACAGCTAACGGTTAATCTCTGAGACAGAAACATTGACTATAAACATCACCCGTACAGGTCACGTCATCTTTTTCGGTACCGACGGTGCAGTGATGAAACAGCACCGGTAGACGACACCGGGGGAAGTTGTGTGTGTGTGAGAGGACTAAATTGCCGTCCATAAGAAGCGGGGTAAGTAACGTAGAGATGATGAACCGTTAGTGTGTGGCCGGGGAGGGATTTACCAACAGCTGCTAGTTACTACTAGCTAGAAATCCCTCATGCTAGCTGTGCCAGTTTATGTTGCGTATTTGTTTACATTGGTTTCATGTTTTTTCTGTCACTTTTTTACAATTCTGCACTCATTGCGTTTGACCCCATGCTTGTTACCCCGGTGATTCATTCACGAAGTAGTGTATATGCCACAGGTTGTTTGCAAATCAAATAAAATTGGTCCATATTCACCTGTGCTGCGTGTCGTCACCTATGGTCGTCACACCAAATTAAACGTGCGTTCATCTTGTGATTTATGTATGTTTTACCCGGTAGCGTGTGGGGTCATTAAGTACTAAATATAACCCAAAACACTAGCTACCCTCTGCGTGTACACCCTGCTTGGCTGAGGATATTTTGGGTCGTGCAGTTTGCAATTCTGTCTGGGAAAATGCATCGCTCTGGCTTTACCTTGCAATTAGGCATTGGCACACAATGTGCAAGAATATGTTATGTCATGATTTGTGAAGTAGATAAAGTCAGTTTTAAGTATTCTGATAACACAAATCAGATTTGCCTCAAGGAGCTGTACATGATAGGACACTCTATGTCCTTAAACCTTATATTCAGATGAGGAAGATCTTCCCTCTTATAACCTTGTTAACTGGAAAAAATGGAAGCAACCTCTGAAAGAGCAACAGAGGAGGGATACCTCTCCCCGGACAGACATGCAATACATCATAATAACCAACATAATAACATTATAGTGTAGACAATTAGGATGGGAAAAAAGTGATGGACTGATTGTAAATATAAACGAAGAAGGTCGTACTATAAAGCTGTCAGTTGTTTCATAAGGTATTTTTGTCAATCATTACTTGTTTCATAATTTGTAAAGCAAAAGGCAGAGAAATCATCACTAGGCTAAAGAGCGGTGGGTGTGTGCTTATGCAGCTTTGCAAATATGTGTAAGTTTGGGGAATGTGTTCACTTGTGTTTTGGTGCATCAGTGCTAATATGACTGTCCGAGAAATCTGAGCAAACTAAGCTGCAGAAAGGGAAATCTGCTTGGGGTTAGTTCACTGTTTTCTGATTAGACGGAAGAATTTGGTCAGGATTCACATTCTGGAAAAATTCCCCTTGCATCGTTTAGTGGTGTCGCACTGGACAGTCAAGTCTGTTTGAATCCTAAATGTGACAGAAATACTCTCAAGCCTGTCATTTGCAAACCTCAGCGTCACATACCAGAAAGGTAACCTACACTGTAATCCTGTAAAACCCTCAGCCCTTTTTTTTGTGGGCTTTTTACTTTCAAGAGTGTCTTCACATTTCACAAATGTCTTATGGTGAGATCTTGTTGGTGTGCACATGATGGACAGGATGTTTGTGTTCTGTCTGTTCTTGTTTCGGAGGGCAAATGAGGCGCCTTATTGGAATGCCAGGGTGGAAAAAGAGTCATCATACTTGAAATGAAGTATTGCACCACGAGAGCCAATTGGCATGGATTGCGTTGGTTGTTTGACTGGGCTGTGTGGAGTCTCGTGCAGATCCATCCCAGAAGAGGATTTACGGCTGTGAGTAAAAAGATGAGAGCAGCAGACAGTTAGACAGTGTCTGCTGTGCTGATTGATGAGTTCAGGTACGCTCAGTAACCTGGTTCCTCTGATCCTGACCCCAGCCTCAGGGTTAATGCCTGCTCTTGTCCTATATCAAACACCAAATGTGCCCTCCTCCGCAGTGATGGTGCTAAAACCTAAAGGCACACAGGGTGAGTGTTATTTCCCTCTTGCATATTCATTCACACCAACAAAGAGGGCATGTAAGAGTCCCACTTCATAGAGCTGTCAAAAAGCACATTGGGTCTGATTCAATTGAGTGGAACGCATATCATAACTAAAGCTGTGATTGTACTGCATGGTTAGGCATGGCTCTACTCGACTTGACTCACTCTTTTTTGGTTTTCCATTTAATTTAGTAACATGTTGGTCTAGGTCCCTAGCAAGCTAAGCTGATGATGCAGACCAATGTACTTTTTTAAATAGCAAACTTCCATCAATTGCGTTCACGTTTTGTTAAATACACATAACCATCCGCAGTGGAATTTTAAATGTATTCTCACGACTGGAGATAGTAAAAGAGTTAGTGACTGCACGGAAGAGCAACAGAGCAAGAAATGTTGCTGCCAAAAATGAGTGACAGTCCAGCTTTTGTCACTCCGGTCCATTTCCTGCACCTCTCACTGTTAATATTGTTCTCTCGCTCTCTGATGCTTTCTTCATGATTGTTGGCAGATGCTACATAGCAGGCCTGGAAGAAATTCTTGCTCTTTTTTTTGAGGAATGCATATCATGCATGCATTTTACTGAAACATTTTCTCAACAGTGTTTAAATGTGGCCAATATAGTCCACTCCAAAGGGCACATCACTAGCAGATGTTTTTTACGTTGTATTTTTCCTTTGAGGAGATGAATAATGAATAAACATATAAACAGTTTTTTCTGCAAGGATTTGTCAACACTGAAATATTTATACTGAGATTATCAAACCCACCACTCAAATCATGTAACGGATTGCTAGAAGATTGCTAAAATACAACAAAACGTATATATTCAAATAAAAAGGTAGGAAATAAAATACACAAAATCAAGAAATGCATCATGTTTTTTTGTTTTTGATAGACTCATTGTGAAGGAAGTTTAGTTAGAACAATGGATAACATATAGAATGGGCTAGACATGATATTTGAGTATCAAGACTTGTTGGAAGCATGACTAATGTTTTAGTAATGTGACAAGTCCTTGATAAAAGCAGAACATTGTGTGAAGGTCACCTCACAGCGTTGTCACCGTTTTTAGCCAAAAGGAGAGCTTGTACTTGGAAAGAAAGGCTGATTCAGATTTGCATGCAGAGCAACTGAGATTCCATGTTCCCGGGGGAATACCATCCACAAACACTAATTAGCTGCACAGCATTGTCTGCAGGGAGAAAGGTATGATGTATCCTCAGCTGGTGGGTGGCATCTGTTTTAGGCAAGATGAATTTGGGAGTTGATCTCATCACTAAAGTGAAATTCCTAGCTCCTAGCAAAGTCATCTGTCAGAACACGGAACACATCTCGCTCGGGCTGTTGGGGCTTTTTCTCTAATGTAGCAGTGTGTGTGTGAATCGAGTAAATAAAGTTGGATTCAGTCAGGGGACGTGGAACAGTTAGGTTTAAGTGACACATTTTAGAGGAAGGCAGATGCTACGACTGAAGGGGTTGAAAGGGAAATTGGACGTATAACTCCACTGTCACGACTCTTTCAGAATAAGAAAGTATGAAGCATTTAAAGTGGATATACTATGCTAATTGTCAGGGGTTAGTGGGAGAACTTTGGGATTTTAGCCTTTGCAGTCTTTTACATGCCTAAAAACCTATAGAACCTAATGAAAGAAAGGAAAACCCCAAAAAGCATAAGAGGTCCTCCTTGAGGAAGGAAATTGGCAAAAAAAGAACAAGCTGTCTGTGTTGGGTTCACAGGAGTAAAACGTGATTCCCCTCCTCTTCCATTTCTTCTCCTCATTCAGACAGAAAAGGCGCCTATCTTCACAGACTAAAGACGTCACTTAACCCAAACTGCCAGACTCTCAAGTTTGAAAATAAATCATAATGGAAAACAAACGTGTGTGTTCATCCAAAACACCTTCTTTCTCGCTTAAAGGCAAAACACCAGTCTTAAAAACAGTTTTCTGACAACTAGGGAATGAAAAGATCAGGCTAGGAGCAGAGGCAGGTTGGACAGATCAGGTTTCACAGAGACATGGCATTAGTTCCCACAGGGCTCTGCGTTAACGCTTCCCTTGCTAATACTGTACACAGAGTCAGGATGGGAACCTCTTGTATTGAGTTTGAGCCTGGGGATTGTGATCCCAGTATTTCCCGTGATATCTCTATACTGAAATACGACCTTAATAATAATAATCCTTATATTTATTATAGCGCTTTATCAATTAATCTCAAAGCGCTTTACAAATACACATTACACATACAGATCATACAGTACATACATGTAATGGTCATCTACTGTGGACCTTGAAATGCATTTTCACCCTGCAGCTGTTTTTTCAAAATGACTTTCTATTCTTACATGGTGGTTGCAAGAGTCACTGAAAAATCAGGTATAATGAAAGATTAGCTGAAGGAGGCTCAATAAATGGCTCTGATATTAAAGGGGGAGCAGGTAGAACATCCTGTACCAGGAAAAAAACAATTCTCCGGTACATCAGATCACTAAGATAATGGACCACAACCACACTTAAATGCAGTAAGAATTGCCCAGTCTGATTTCAATGAATGCAAATGGAGATTGGAAAAAAATAGATCCGGGGCATTGAAAATCCCAGGAGGTTGACTACTGTCTGGATCTGGACGGATGAACCAATACAGATATGCTTTATAACAGAATAAATCAGTATGTTTTTATTATATATATATATATATATATATATGTGTGTGTAAAAGATCTGTCGATATATATAGTAAAGCGATTATTAAACCTAAAATATTGTTATCAGCTTAAAAATCCATGGAGATATAAGAGTGCCCCAGCTTATTCATTCATAGCTTATAGCTTTTACTTTACTTTTCCCTAGATGTAATAAGTGAGTGATATTAATAGGATCAGTCAGTAGAAGTCTGTCACTGCTGCCTCTCATGCTGCTGCACTGCCATCCATCACGGTTTGTGCTTAATTTTCCATAACAAACACATAACGGTCCTCCACTCATACCAAGAGAGGAAGATTGCCCTGAACCTGAGGGGAATTTTAAAACATCTTTTGAAATTCAGGTCGAGACCCTCTACAAAGTTAATCGAGGCACTTGATATGCCAACCAATCTCTTTACACCTCACAGTACCATTAGCATTATTCATATTAGGTATAGGTTAGTCCCAGCAGGGCACAAATGACTAACCCTGACATTGTTATCTCCATATTCC